GAAGGGTGATCCTAATGTTGTCAGAGATTACATAGAAAGACCCTTGATTGTAGAAGAAGCTAATGAAGAATATAACCATTTATTACCAAAAGAGGGTAAGAATTACTTGGATTACCCTGAAAGACCTTTGACTAGAGAAGAAGTCAAGTTTATAGATGATAAGAGAAAACAGTTGTCAGAAAAAATGTTGTTAAAGACACATGAATTTTAGCCCACAAAACCATTGGAGATACAAGGATTACAAGATACAAGGATTAATGGAGGAAGTCCAAACTGAACTCTTGGAAGACATTAAGGCTCATTATGAGAGTAACTTTCCAGTGTTTGTTTATTACAAAATTATGTATTCTGATTAAAAAAAAAGTTTTCACTTTCATTTGTTGTGCCTTTGACCATTTAAATTGACCTTATGGTCAAGATTGTGATATATACACTCTGATAATCATCTATGATGTCTCTATGATGTTTACCTCAAAAGATTGAATCAGGGTATTTGTGTTCAAAGAGCTGAAGAAACTTAATACAGACAGATCTAAGATTTTGGAAGCATACATATTAATGAGGTTAAAGGGGATATAACACTTGAATTCATTACTACATTATTAAAAAGAAAGAACACAAACTCATAGAAATGATATTGAAAGTACCTTTTATGAATAAAGTGTCATGCTCCAAGGTATATTTTTTATAAACAGGAGAAGGTTTACAACAGTCCCATGCACTCATAAGAAGATCTTGGTTAGTAGATCTTGCTATCTTTACCAACTATGATATTAAGGAACTGGGGGGGGGGTGGGGTGGGGGGGTTACAAATTAGCCATATTTAACTTATTCTTTAGATATGCTATCTTCAGCTGTTAACTATCATTTGGCAAAGAAAACTTTCATACATTTTAGTTTCAACATTTGATCATGCATTTTTGTATATATATTGAAATGGAGCTCTTCTTCTTCTTCTATAGGAGATCAATATAGTCTAAAAAATGACCATGACCACCAAGCCCTTTTTATTTAAATATATCATTTACATATCAATTCAAAATTATAAACATGCATATGTAAAAAAAAAAAAAATAATAAAATAATAAATAAATATATATTACAATTGTATCTCATTGAAACTTTACCTTCAAGTTTGTGTGTTTCTATGTTGGCTGACTAACTGTGTATTTCCAAAGGAAGAGCAGACAGTCTGAACTTCATAGAGAATGGATTATAGATGGTTAGGAACAAAACATATCTTCCAGGTTGAGGACTGTATAGAAAATAAAACCATTTTGTTAATATGACAGAGTACTGTGTGAAACAATACATGTTTAAAAATTGAACAAACATGTACAATGCCAAAAAAGTTCATGAAAATGTTTGTTTTTTAATCTCAAAACAAATTGTTTTTAACATTAACTCCAGATGAGAAAAGTTCATCATGTTATCTTTAGATAATAAAAAAAAGCACAATTACTGTATTGATATCACAAATAAAATGATTATCAAATTAATTATTTAGACACTAAAAGATTTTTTATTAACAACAGATTCAATTTTGATTAATATCTGTCAGTACTGCATACAGAAAAATACATCTTTTTTAGCATCATTACAGTACAACATGTAGTCCTTAATTTTTTGAAAAGCTCATTACTAAGAAACAAAAGTGAAAATGAAAATATATGTATGCCATATATCCCACATATTTAGAATCAAAACAAAAAGTAAATAACTTAGGATTAATCTTTTGTAAATTCCTCCTTTTCTCTTATTAGATTCCTAATTAATATCTCTTTGATCACCATTTAGTAAGTCTGAATTCCATGGCCATGGGTAACATACATAATGAATTATGAAATTAAATCATATAATTTATACAAAAGGACTTATTAAAATTCTGAAGATCCCTTAATCATGTGTTAATATATTTTAGGTTAAATAAGGGTGTGCTTATATGAATGTAAGTTAGAGACAACAGATCACATAAGTATTACACAGTAATTAAATTAACCATATAATCATGCTTAAATGCAAAGATGACCTTCATAGGAAATTTAAACAATCTAAAAAACAAGACAAACTTACCAGAGATATCCAAATATATGCCCAATAAGTCTATCCATTAAATAATCCAGTGAAATAACATCTCAGCTGATCCTGAAAAAAATCATACAATTCAGTGATACACAATTAACCTCATTTAACAATGTAAGTAAAGCAAAGTAATTTACAGACAAAAGGGATAGAAATGTAAAAGATACCATGTATTTTACCAAAATTTAGTGAACATTTTTCTGATTTAAATTCAATATCATGGAATGACCCATCATAGAATTATTAAATGCACTCTGAGTTACATGCAAATTATACCTGTAAATCACATGAAATGAGGATAAATACAGTACATTTACATTCAAAATAGAACTTTACATATAAATCATGGTTAAATGCAAAGATATGTCCATCATAGGAAATGTAAACAAAACAAAGACAAACTTACCAGAATTATTCAATTATATGCCCAATTAAATAATCCAGTGAAACAACATCTTAGCTGATCCTGAAAAAAAGCATACAATATTCAGTGATACTCAATTTAACCTCATTTTACAAAGGAAGTAAAGCAACAATTGACAGACAAACAGGACAGAAAAACATGTTTAAATGTAATGCAAAATAATATCTCTTATATATGGATACCTATACTCTAATCAATCATATTAAATGTCATTCGTAAAATGTATTTTTTAAGACAGATTTATTTAGGATAGACTTTTTAAATGATAACATGAATAGCACGCCATACTTTAACCACATGTCAAAACATTCTCTCAAATTACACAGAAATGGATTATTTAGCATAACTGACATTAAACATATAGGTGAGCAATAACATAATCACAATCATAAACAATGTGAAACAACTTTAAACGACCTACACTGTGGATTACAAGCCTTTTTCACTGGGGTAAAATCTTGCTGAAATTCGCTATGGCCGCCCGAAACCCCGAACCCGAATGTATAAAAGATGAAGTCATACAATAACATAACACTGATGTGGTATTACATGATTTTTTTTTTAATTTTATTTCTTAAAAACTATAAGGGGAGTTTACCAAAAAAAAAATTTATAAGAAAAAAAAAAATTAAAGTTATTTTAAAAAAGTTAAAAGATAAAAAATTTAAAGTTAATTTTAAAAAAAGTTTAAAAAATTTAAAAAGAAATTCTAAGTTTTTTTAAAAAGTGACCTGGTGTTATAACTTGACAGACATAACACACACATGTTTTTTTGTATTGTGTGTTATTTGTTATTGTCTTTCAGTAAAAAAATTCAGTTCAAACTGGTTAGGCTGGCTAGACTAGGCTGTCTAGACTGTAAATGAAAAAGTGTGACGTCATAATCACATTGTATTTATACAGTGGATGACGTCACAATGCATAGGTAAGTTTATCGTACTTTTTGCACACGGCACTTTATAGAGGGTACAAACAGGTATATAAGAAAACACAGGTAAAAGGTATATTTCTTTTGCACACGACCCTCAGTTTTTTGCACACGGCTCCTTTATAGATGATGGAACAGGTATATAAAGCCCAGGTAAAAAGGTGCACACGGCTCATAGCAGGTATATAAACTAAAAAACTGTAAAATTTGATGATCATTCTGCGTGAGCACTTCGAACTGGACACAGGTGAAAAAAAGAAAGCAAGGATGAATACTTCAGAAAATTCCCAGTATTATGTGACACCTGAAGGATATGTAGGAGCTCCCATGACAGAGATAATAAAGGATGCAGTGGAATTGGATTTGAATTTGGACATGGTTAATTTTCCTGAGGACATGAATAAAGAAGAAGATATGAGCATTTTAAACACTACTCTGGACGGAATTGTGAACATGCTATCTGCTCTGGATAACAAACTAAATCAAATGAACACCAAGATGAATGATGTGGATGACAAGGTGAATAAATTGAACAGCAAGGTGAGTGCTCTTGAAAACAAGATGGAAAAACTGAAATGTCATAACAGCAGTGGATTTTGTTACATTAGTGGATTATTATCACCAATCACAAAGTCATTCACGGGGAAAGAGACAAAAATGAGAGAAGAAGGAGGAAACATTGACCAGAAAAAAGAAGGGACCCAGGGCGGATCAGGAGAGAGTAAGAAACAAATGGAGCCATGCTATGTATCGGTAAAAGACATAGAAAGAAAACCTAGGGAAACCAAAAGGAAACTACCCCAGACCAGTGAGAAGGCCCAGAAGAAACAGAAAATGTAAATTGTATGTATATTTTCACTTGAATAAAATCTGTGTTCTAATCTGTATTGTGTGTGTTCTTGTTTTCACTAAAACCAGTTCAAACCGGTTAGGCTAGACTGTCTACACTGTGAATGCGTGACGTCATAATGACATTCTTGAAATGTTTTTTGCACACGGCGCATTTTTTACCTGTGCAGTCAGCATAAAAACAAAAAAAACGTAGTACCAACGTACCAATGTAAACACAGTGTAAACACCCAGTATTTAAGGGGGAGGGGATATATGTACTGACACACCTAGCCCCTAGGGCTAGGGTTAGTTAGGGTTAGGGGCTAGGGTTAGGGCTAGGGGATAGGGTTAGTTAGGGTTAGGGGTTAGGGTTAGGGTTAGGGTTAGGGTTAGGGGGCTAGGGTTAGTTAGGGTTAGGACTGCACTCAGTTGACCCCCCTTTCCCCTCAACCAATCAAATCACGTGATTTTCTCTCAGCCAATCAGAATCTTCCGCACTAGCGGGACTCCTTATACTACTGTTGTCTTTATGATCCAATGCTGACATTCTATTACAGAACTTATACATAAAGAATTCTACATATGACACAGAGTTTGAGCTAGGGCAATAACTTTCAAATTGGATATCGATGTTACATCTCTTTTATTCATGCGTATATTAGTGCAATAAAAGCTATGAAATAGGAAGTGCATAAATTATACATGTTGCAAAAAAAAATTATTTTTGTTTTACAGGATACCTTGAACGAATGTATAGGATGACTGCTGATATAACTGTCAAACTTCTGCTCACACTATTAGTGGTAGGTTCGCATTTTTCTATTTGCGCACGATATATAGTGAATTACACTTACAACGTTTCATCTATAATTATAATCTTGCTGCAAGTGCGTTTAATAGTCGCACATAAAAGGAGAAATGGCTTATGAATATTAAAGTAAAGGAAATATTATCTGTTTATGAAATATTTAAGGAAAAAACGATTAAACGGAAAGAAGATAGATTAATTTGTATTTTTTAAATTTTTTTTATATGTATCGAGGAATAAATAGAGGATATTCAATGTTTTGTAGTTGAATATGAAATTTATTTCACGAGTGGGACAGGATTTTTGATATTTTCACAAGTGCGAAGCACGAGTGAAAATATCAAAAAATCCTGTCTCATGAGTGATATAAATTCAATATTCAACTACAAAACATTGAATTTTCTGTTTATTACATTTTTAAATAAAAATTCTTTGATTTTTCCTTTGCATCTGTCTTTTTGTAATACAGTCACAGGCTCGTGACGTTATAGTTGAGCGGTTGAGACGTCATAGCTATGTGAAGTAAAACACTGTACACATTAATTTAGCAACATAATTTTGGTAATTTTGACAGTTTTATTCGCTGTCAGAATGGTTTATTTATTTCTATCTATCTTATATTAGGTCAAGGAAGATATTTTTCAATCTTCATTATTGGAAGGGAAATCGAGAGTTTTCCCGCACTTCTGACATCCTTTCACACTGTGACAGGATATCATTTTGATATCCTTTCACACTGTGACAGGATACATGTATCAGTTTTATTCAATTAATAAATCACAGTATTTCACGGGTAAAAATGTAATAAACTATGAATATCTTTTATTTTTTGCGGTCTAAAAGCAGAAAGTGAAGGTCACAAATCTATGTACGGGACATGAGAAACAGATCTCTATATGTTATATCAAGAGTCAGTTAGCGGTTGCGATTATTTTGATTTTTAAATTCAAAAATTCAAAAAACCAAGTAACATACATGAATATTGGCTTTTAGATAGTGTTTTATTTTTACAAAGAAACTTAAGTTCACCTGATGAACCTCAGAGACTTTATCTTGACTTTACCAGTTGTTTTTATTATTGCAAATATGTTCATTATAATTAATTGATTACTTCTGGCTTTCAGGAGATGCAAAAATTCCCTGTGGAATCTTTACTGAAAAAAAAATTCTTAAAATAAAGAAGAATTGTATATGTTGCGATGCATTTGCACTTGTGTCGTTAGTTTTTTTTTTTTTTTATTAAAGAAGGATGTTTTATCTGAACCCTGCATAACATCAAATGAAACGTTGAAGTATGTTGACCACTGTCCAACGACCAGGAAGGAATGGCAAGAGCAATCTCTGCAGAAAAACTGCAATAAGATAAACCAGAACTGTACGTAGAGGAACAATTTCCAGTACCACTGCTTAATCAATGAACTAGTAAATCAAACAGTTGAAGTATGTGCTCCAGTTACAGAAATACTTGGTAAGTTAAGCAAAACAACATAAAAATGTTCAAGTTTTCAAACATCAATGTTTCAAAATATCAACTGGTCGATATTTTAGATTCTGTTATACGTACAATTTCGACAAGCTTTAATACACTTATTGTTTTGTGTAATTTATTTATAACAAACTGCCGGACAGTAGCTTATAGGTCTGAAGAAATATTTTGGATGGACAGCAAAATACATGTAGCTGACAGTGCAATCAAAAAATGTAATTATTTACTTTCATACGGTTCAAAAAATTAGGTTTCTTATTTTACGCTGTCATATCAAGATACTATGCGCATTTTTTTATTGAATGCTATTTACTGCTTTTTCAAAATGTTTTCAAGCAGAAATTTATCATTGTTCATAGATGGAGATCATCGAAACCTATTAACATGGTTTACATGGTAATCGTTACAATCCACTCATTGTTATGTTTTTATAACACAAACATCGCACAAAAGTAAGTTTTAGTTTTTGAGTAAATGCCTGATATTTTTTTTCTTTCAATTTTCCCATAATAAAAATCAAATATTTTTAATAAGAAACGTTTTATTTTCTCAGTTTTTATTAATTTATTAATATGTCTTTGGAACCCTTAATTCTTATTGACGATCACCCCCCCCCCCCCCCCCACAATACTGTGTATGCAACATTGCTTTTGATCAAATAAACACTGAATAAATAAGCACCATCGCAGAAATTATTTACTCATATTTAAATCAATTACAATTAGTTAAGCTTAATGATATGAAACGTTTGTCTTGGTTAGAAAAAAATTCGTATTCAATATTAATTCGCAAAAATGATCATGTCAACAGAATTTGTAGACAATGACAATGACAATGATTTATTCTCTTAAATGTACAAACATACATTGTAGAGAGGAGGTAGGAAAAGGTATAAACACATACAAAAAATATAATACGTGCATTATAAACAGTACAAAGTATTATGTTCAAGTTCATGTCAATTATTTTCATCTATAATTTGATTGACAATCAATAAAAATTTACATGATTTTTTCAAAGTTGCTTAAATTTCTTTATATTTGGTCTGGATTTGAAAGAGTTCAGTATCATCACCTTTATTCTTATAGATAAAAATTATTTCACCACACAACCAATCGGATGGGAAACAACCACTGTCAAGAATTTTGTTGAATATTTTTTGATAGAGGGTCACCATTATGTTGCATGAGCTTTTAATATATTCATAGTATATGTCATCACTTCCACATGATTTGTTTCTTTTAAGATTTTTTATACTTTGCATTATTTCATCACAAGTTATCGGTTCATTTATAGACTCATTACACTGTAAATTAGAAAGAATATCTATATCCTCATTTGATAAACATAGTCAGGTATTTCATTATCTTTTTCCATATTTAAATCTTTAAAAAAAATCATATAATTCCTCAGCAGATGCATTTACATTTTTTCTATTTTTTTGCCCAGAGTTATTATTTTCCTATATTCTTTCGGGTTTGTTGATTTTAGTTTTTTCAATTTTTCTTTCGTTTGATTTTCATGGTTATTTACACACATGTTCAACAATTTTTTTTTTATATTTTTTCTTTGCTATACATATAGTCTTTGAGATCGTTACTTCTATTTCTCTGGTAGCGTTTTTTAGCCTTACGAAATGTTTGTCTTGCGTTGTAACATTCTATTGTAAACCATGCATATGGTTGGTGAAAATCTATCTTTGATTTTCTTCGATTATTATTTTTTATCCCTAAAGTTTCTTTTGCACTTGATATAAGAATGTTACAGGTATCGTCTACAATTTTGTCAACAAAATCTAGATCGATTTATTCTTCTTTAATATTGTCAAGAATTCCACATAAATTGTTAATTTCAATACTTTTCTGACCTAATTTTTCAAGAAAAATGTGTTGCAATTCGTCATTCCAACCTTTAGCCTTTTCTTGTTGTTCGCTATTACATGTATTTTCATTATTAGTATTTCGTTTCTCTTGGTTAATTGTCAATGATAGTTCTACATGAAAAGGATTATGGCAATCAGAGTAAAGTTTCGAAAAATCATGAACTTCGAATTTTTTAACAACAGTCAAAATTTCAGTATTACCTATGCAATAATCTATTACACTAATACCTTTACATGTAGTTTTCCCAATACATCTATCATTTCCCATACGACCATTCAAAACTAATAGATCAGTATGTTTACAAAAATCGAGTAAAAGTTTGCCAAAATTATTCTTGACTAGGTCTTTTGATGACCGTTGCGGTGGGATATTAAGTAAGTCTAATATTGTACATACAAACTTTCAGGTAAAAAATCAGAATAAGTGTCACAGTTAGTAATGTAATCATGGTCTATTCCAGTTCTTGCATTAAAATCACCAATTAAACAAACAAATTTACGAGTTGTTAGAAAAACGAACATATTCCTCCAATTCTTCAAAAACATCACAAGATACATATTTAGAATTTTCAGGTGGTATGTAAACGGCGCCTAAAAGTAATGTTTCATTTAACACTTTTTTAATTAAGGTTGAATTTTAACCATAAACAATATTTACTTGCAGAATCTATTAGTTCTAATGAATTGACGAGTGTTTCTCTAACAAAAACAACAATACCACCCGATTTAAAGCGAGATAACTCGCGACGGTGCTTTCCAAACATTTTAAAACCAGGTATTATTACATGATCTGTGTTATCAGTTTTAGATTCATTTACGCATATGATATCATAATTTGTGAAATATTCGATAAATTCTGTACAGTTAATTTTACTTATTAAACCACAAACATTAAGTGAAACAATTTTAAAAGAGGATATTTCACCACAGGATAGGCGTCCATCCTCCTCAAATCCCTAGTATCCTGGTTGTCCTAAATGAGTGAAGTCCATTGGGGCGGATCCTCTGACGGGCTCCTCCGTTGGGGCGGGTCCTCTCACGGGTTCCTCTGGGTCGCTATTCTGGAACTCCTCGTCATAGTCTGGATCGTACAACTGACCGTTGACGTAAAGTTTGTCCCTGACCATCCTAACCGTGTAGACGGATATTAAGTTAAAATCGCGGATCTCATTAAAGTACTAATAACTGATTTGCGACATTTTTCGTAATAGAATTAGAAAATGTTATGAAAGGGCATTGGTACTTTACGTCACATTTAGAAAATGCTATAAATTAAAGTCTCCAACAGTGCTTGTAAAATATACACATCTCTAAATATTTAGCACTTGAAACGTGCATTAGATGTGTCTAAGTCAATCAACCATTTCTTCGGGACAAATTGAATTGTTCTTTTATTATTTTACAGGGCATAAATGTGCAGAGTATAACGTTATTGGAACAAGAATTCAGGATAATGCAGTTTTGAATTGCACAGATTGTCCATTCAGATTCAATTCAAACGAGGCTTTTAAATGTAAGAATCTCTAATACTTTAATATTTCAAGACTTGTGAGATACACAATGTTTTTGAATCTTAAGATTAAGTTACACAATATCTTGCAATAAACACATTATAAGAAATTTTAAATAACAAAATATCTGAATATACTGTGAAATCACTAATTTTTGTGGGGGTTAATTTACGTTGTTTTGCATGTATGAAGAGACCCACGATTTTATATCTACCATGAAATGTAATTTTTCAAAGATATTACTACACAAAATTTCTTCTGACATCAACAAAATTAAATTCCCACAAACCCATATTCTTTCCTCAAACCACAAAATTTGACCCCACGAAAACATTTGATTTTACAATTCACTAGTAGTATTTGAATTCTAGAGTCCTATGAAAATTATTACAAGTCGTCAAGGAGTACTGCTATAAATATTCTAGTATTCTTTATACTAAAACCACATACTATGTGTCCTCAATATCATAAATTAGCACTAATATTTATTATTATAATTATCATTAATATTATTATTAAACACAGCAGAAAATTGCATCTATCTTGAACGTATATTCATTCTGTTACGTACATTTTCACTAATATATTCACTATAACACTTACGAGCACGTTACTTTCATTTACCTCACTTACTTGGTGCACTTAATTTCAACACATTTTATGAGCGAAATTCATTTAAAAGGTAAATATATAATAATACACATTTTTCATAACGTTTGAAACATGCATTGCATGATCTTACTCTATTTAAGATACCGGTATTTGATATTTTCTTTTTCAGATCAACAGTGCTACCAAAACGCCATTCAACGCCAGGCAACAGAAAACGGGACTGGAGCGCAGTGTGATAATTTAACAGAAGACAAGTACACACATTCTCTCTCTCTCTCTCTCTCTCTCTCTCTCCTTTGTGTACAATATATGATTTTGTTTGAATTAGTTGTATTCTTTGTAAAAAAAAAACATGATGCTTTTTTGTTTGATTTCACTTTATTATTTTTTTTGGGGGGGGGGGGGGTTATCCACTAAAACTAATTTGCTTTTTCTTATGAAAACCAAGGCTGTTAAACAATCAGTAATCAACGCTCAGCGATACATCTGCATAAATTTTTGCCTGAATGAAACATAAATTGATGTACAATTCAGTTATGCAATATTTCACAAATTTAATGCTATATGACTGTTGATACACATATACACATTAACAATAAAATGTGTATTGCAGAAATGAGGGTACTATATTTTTTTCCGACAGCTGCGACATAACGTCTTATACTAACATCCAGAAACCATTTAAATTTTGAAAATAGGTCAGTTGATATTTTATTGTAGGGTCTCTTTTTTTGCCTGTCTCACTGCACTCGTAGTTTCAGTTGTCATCAACATTGCATTTTGTGTCGCTTTTTCCTATTTTCGACGACGGCATCCAAAGAAAAAGAAGTCTGGTAAGATAAAGAAATATGTTGATTAATATATCTTGTATCTTTAAGATTGAGAAATTTAAAAATGCACGTATTTCTATGTGGTGTAAAAATGTATCATATAATGGCACTCATATTTATTTAAAGTAAGAAAGAGAATGATTTGTTCTCGGTTTGTTTTAATTTACAAATAAAAATAAAAACCTCTGAAATTATTTTTACAGTAGTTTGCCACGAATGAGTCTACAAACTAGTCAATTGCATTACTCTTAGAAAATTGAGTGGAAAATCAGTCGTTAAATGAGGTCGTATCACATTAAATATCCAATTCAAATAAATTTTCCAATTTTTAATATGAATCTCTGTTAGATACCACGGCTTCTCATGGAAAAAGAATAACCACCCAAAAAGAAATTATCATACTGTCAAATAAAGATTTTTTCAAGCTTAAAAAGTAAAGATAAACATAAAATAAATTGATCTCGAACTTATTTAAAAGGATAGATAGAGGAAATATAGGAAACGCATCATGCAGCGAAACAGCGATAAGAAAACAACAACGATGCCATCGGTCTATAGAATATTGTTTAAACGAGTAAAAAACAGACACGTGGTATCTGGGAGGGGCAGGTTACCATCCCGAACGCACAGGCTCTTTACTATTAATTTGCATGATATGTCGATGTGATTGAATGTTTGGTGGTGCCCCCGACTTTTTCTGGGTATGGGAAAATACTCATATATCAATGTATTAAATATAATTTCTAATGAAATCAGTCGGAGACACCCCCCCCCCCCCAAGCACACATACACACACCCTCACACACACACAACAATTAAGCATCTCTAACAGAAGACCTTACTGTTTCCTATTACTTTCTTTTTTCCTATCGTTGTACTAATTTCTATCTATTTTGAGTTAGCGATTTCTTGAAAACGGCTTTATAGGCCTGGTAGATACTGATATAATCCTAAAGATAGGAAATTTATTGCTTTGGTGACATCTTCTAGTCGTGCGTTACAATGGATTTTCTGTTTAAAATTCTAATTTTTATCCTGCCCTTAAAAATGTGAAAATGTATATTGTTTTCATAAAAAATGTTCATAAATGAGTCCTACACGATCGGGATAAGATGAGGCCACCTAAGCAAATTTTAACAAAAGAGTTGTGTTGAATATATATAGGGAGTATCCAGTATTGCCAGTATACCAAATACTAAACTTAAACGTTGTCTTGTATAAGGAATATATAATGAAAATATTGTGACATAAGTGGCACAGCCATTTTGCGAAATCATTTTTTAGAAGTCCAATTATACTGCATAATTCATTTCAATTTTCATAGGAATTAAGATATTATATTGCTTTGATTATAGATGAAAATTATGAAGGGACTGAAGGG